AGTGAAGATGATTTGGAAACTGGAGCATCTGTATTACGAGGAAAGGTTGATAGAGCTGGGGCTCTTCAGCCTGGAGAAGAGAAGGCTGAGAGGAGACCTTGTCAATGTCTACAAATGTCTAAAGTGTGGGTGCAGGGAGGATGGAGTCAGATTCTTTTCACTAGTACCCAGTGACAAGACAAGGGGCAACAGGCACAAGCTGCAACGCAGGAAGTATCATCTAAACATGAGGGAAAATTTTATTGTGAGTGTGACAGAGCACTGGCACAGGCTGCCCAGGGAGGTTGTGGAGTCTCCTTCTCTGGAGACTTTCAAAACCCACCTGGATGCAATCCTGTGTAACGTGCTCTAGGCAATACTGCTTTAGAGGCGGAGCTGGACTAAATCGCCTCTAGAGGTTCTATCCAACTCTTAACGATTCCGTGATTCCTTGATTCTGGGAATCCCATGTTTCCTCCCTGCTGTACTTGCCTCATAGTGTCTCCTTGATCTTGGGGCTCGCCATTGTGCTCTTCACTGATAGCACACAGCTCAGTGCAGACTGTCAGGACCCTGGCTGGTTTCAGGTTATGGAAAATACCAAATTCTTGCAGCTAAGTTCTTTGCTAAGTTGATTTCATGCCTTACAAATAGGTATTGATTTCCCAATTTGAAATACACAAGTGAGAGAGAATAAAACAATGAGACATGCAATAGCTGGCCCTTTCTGCATGTAGTACTTTGTATTCTCACTACCTTGATCAGCCTTGCTCATAAGTACTTTTAATAACTCCGGCTCTAATTAGAGCTCACTCTTACTGTGACCTTGTGAACAAGACTATCTCCTATTGCAGTTGCACAAGTATTTTAAAAAAATACATATTTTCCACCTTTTGTAATGTGATTTTGGTGTGAATTCAGTAGATCTGAACAATTACTTTCAGTAGATAAGAATGTGACCTCAGAATTCTGTTTTCCTTACATATTGTAACATATAACATACAATAAATGCAGTTTTCTTTGAGCGTTGTGTTTCTCTAATCCCACATCCAAGTTTTGTCAGAAAGGTGCTTCACCAAGTGATCTGCTCTGACTCCCATGAGGGAAATCACTGCTGTTCTGGAAGGACACACAAAAGGCAGAGGCACTTTGGGAAAGTGGGGTGTGATTTTGGAGGCTGCCCAGAATTTTGGCAATAGCTGCAGACCCCAGACCCCAGCAAACACCTACAGCCATGGCTCTTCAACAGCTATAGACTTTATTGCCAGTTCAGACACATCTACTTATAGTTATTTAATATCCTTTCCAAGAGAGAAGAGTAAAAGTCCACCAAGTAAATAAAGTTTTCTCTCTCAGCTGGGCCTGAACCCCCACAGTTTGCCCTTCCAAATATGTTGAATATCGTGGGCAAGCAATTAATGACCAAAATATTCTGTCCAAGCATTGTTACAGGGAGTGGAGAACAATTTTCAACCAGTAGCTCTTGGCTCCCTGCTGTAAGATGTCTTTGAGTGAGAGAGAGAGACTTGTGCCATCTAGTGACCCGAAGAGAGTGAGCATCTGTCCTGAACTCTTCGTACACAAAAGCCTTTAGCACATAATTCAGTCTTCAGACCACAATAAAAAAAGAGATTAATGAGCATTTGTATTATTTTCATATCTTTCATGTGCAACCCTCCTGGCAGCCCTGACCGACTCCCTGAGTCAGCTACCTTTGGTTTTGCTCTATTTTGCCTGAGAGCCTGTTTATGACTTTATTACTCAGCTTTTGATGTACAGAGGCAAAAGTCCAGCCATGTGCCTCTCTGCGTTCCCTTCGTCTTTCACTTCCAGATGGCCACCAAGCAACTAGCTCCTCTGTACTGCCCCCATCTTCCCCTCTCAAGGCTTACTGACAGCCAGCTCTCCCACAATACCTCTGCCTTCCGGTGTTCTCTGTTTTTTTTTAAAGAAGTTTGCCATTTCTTCTCAAAGTCAGAACGAAATATAAGTCAGGGGATGAGTAGCACCCAGAGAGTCACGGCAGAAGAAATGCTTTTCCAAAGTAGACCCAGTTCTTAAGGTAGTGAATTATAAAGAAATGGCTAATCTTTCCTTAAAACTCTGCAAACATCAGTGAAACTTCATTAACTGCCCTCATTAAGGGCTGACTGCTTACAAAAGTGTGAGAAAGCAGGCAAAATCTCTGCTTTTGTAAGGATGGGAACAGAGGTCTGGAGAAACCTTACTCATTCTGCTGGAGCACATGGGAATAAGGGGGCATGCTGAGGGAAGTATCTTTCATCGTCAACAGTAGGTCAGTGGGGCCAATCCAAATACATCTGCAGATGGAAGGAACCCATCTCTTTTTCCATTCCAATGATCAGGAAGCCAAGGACCGGGGCAGTGCCCAGCTGAGCCCCCTCTCAGGCTACTCTTCTTCTCCTAGCCAGCAGCAAGATCAGTTTATAGCCCACAGAAGTAACCCTACACAAACTGTTTTTTAGATGGCTCTTGGTCTTCAGCAGTTTTTGCAAATTCCCATGGCACCTATTGTGTTGCACAGGTACCACAACACACAGGTCCTCCCACACTGGTGACTCTAGGTGGCACCTAATTTTGCTAAAGGCAGCAGCTTGCTTTACTGTAAGCCAATTGACACGATCTTGATGGAATAATTTATTTCCTTTTGTGAATAATTTTATTTATTTTGTGAATAATTAAAGCACCCCAGTCACAAAGCCAAATGCATTTCACAGAATTACAGAATCACAGAATGTCAGAGGTTGGAAGGGACCTTGAAAGATCATCTAGTCCAACCCCATTGCCAGAGCAAGATCATCCAGAGTACACGCACACGAGTAGCACAGAAACACAAACCTGTTCTCACGAATGTTTCTGCAAGAGCAGCAGCCTCCTGGGCGCGTTGCTGAGAGCTTCGCTTGCCCTCTATTGGGTTGTTGGGGAAGAATTTACCGCCTCAGTAATGAGCACTGCTTACTGGACCTTGTGAAAGAGGAATGCAGAGTGATGGAGCCTTTGAAACGAGGGCAGTCCTTGCTCGTTAGCCTCTCCAGCCATCTGATTAGAAGGTGACATTCAATGCAGTTAAAGACAGAGGTTTGTTTAGAGGCTAGCAATTAATAAGAGGGAGTAATGTTTTATGCAGCATGTAATGCAAGCAACCTGTGGAGTTTGCTTCCATGTAGGGATCACTGAGGCAGGTGCAGTGTGTAGGTGGGAAGGAGGGGATGGCTGATTAAATGCCCACTAGCAGGCTATGCAAGCTGAAGTGACAAACATAATCAAATCTCATGCTTCAGGGCATAAATTGAAGGGGTTGAGTAGCGGAAGTAGTTATGTATATAAAAGGTCTGATCCTGGGAGCTGCTGATTACCTGCAATTCTTACTAAGTTCAGCCAGTAAAAGGACACTCAGGGATTGCTCGACTTTTCTACTGGCTGAGTTTATACTTGTGAATTTTCCTTATTAATAAGCCCCATAATATTTTACGCTGCTGGCACAAACATTCATTTTGCTACAGTAACATTTATTTCCTTTCACACAAGAGTCAAACATTAAAGCTGCTTCTAAAATAAGATTTTATGGAGATAATTTGTTGTGGTGCTGGCAGAGGATATGTCTCCCAAAATACGCTATAATTCTTTATCTAGCAAAGGTACTTATATAGCCTCATTATGAAAATATGTGAGCACTTCATAAGCTTTATGGATTTACTACCTCGTTTCCTTCCTGGGCAGAGGGACTGGCACTAACCCCACTCTACAGGTGGGGAGCTGCTCTCCGAGGCAGCTTGTGGGCTTCCATTAATCTTTATTAATCTTTTAGGGTACCTAAGTTGGATGCAGCTCCTCACTTTGTGAGCTCCTGGCTCTCTGGGAATGCAATGCACAGTATGAGGTGTGACATTTACCTTCTGCACCAAAGGAGGTCTGATTGCAGCCTCCAGCCCTCACCATTGAGAGGGCAGAGGTAGAGAGGTCAGGCAGCCTGAATTCAGCCTTCAGTGACCTGCCCACGACAAATAAAGGAAGTCTTTGCTTTCATCTGGAATCCAGCTAGCGGGGAAATTCAGTGTCTTTCCTCTGTAATTTGAGAACTAGGTAGGCTTGTACATCCCAGGAATGGCTTAGGTAGAGCTGATCCTGCTCAGGTATAAGGCAGTCTTCTTGAAGTCTCTTCCCATCCTGTCTGCAGTGGTTATCTTGAAGAAAACGGCATTCTTTGTCCTAATAAGTTTCCGTAGATAAATACCAAATACCTAACCCCATAATTCATGTCTGTGGGGAAATGCCTTGTGGGTCCTGGGCCATTCAAAGCCCATAGGTGTGCAATGCCATGGCATGAGCAGATGGAGAGAGTCACCATGAAATTAAGAACGGCTCAAATGAGCAAACTCCCTTTTTTTGTGCATGCTCTGTAACCAGCTCCTGCCACTGCTACTCCCCTCCTAATCCCCATCTCTTATTTTCACTCCCCAACCATAAATTTGCTGCCTTTTGCACTAGACAAATCTGATATGCTGTGCTAAATATTTTAAATGTGGCAAACGATCCTTCATCACAGAGTGGCATGATTGCATTACAGTGTATTAGAACAACATGACTTTGCCAGAGGGTGTTTGTTGGCACTGTGCCGAGTGCAGGAGGCAGCCCAAGTTTAAGAAGTAACTATCAAGTCATTTATCAACATTCCGTCTTAAAACACATGGGGCTGCACCAGCTCAAGCAGTCTTAGAGAGAGAAATATGGAGGTTGAGCCAGAAACCCTGAATACAGACAGACCTCTGAGGGAACATCTTGAAATCCAGGGCCTTATCAAAATGTCAAGCTGAGCTCCTCTGACAGATTCAACACATGTTTTTGGCATTTATTCTGCTGCATTTTGTCTCCCCTTTTAGGTTCAGATGAAATATGTGTTGCTTTTCAGTGGAAAGGGCTGATTTGATCTCACACTACTGTAGCATAATGGAAGATCTCCAACGAACCAAGTGGAATAGCAGAAAGCCAACACGTGGGGCTTAGAGCTTGTTTTCCTTCATGATATCCTCATAGGATGGAGGCAATTCAGTTCCCCCAAGGCTGAACCGTGGCGCAGGAGAAGAGGACGTCTCTGCAGTCATGCAGGGGCTCGAAGATCCAGACAACGGGCACTGAGGCACTTCACTTGCTGGAAGAAAGCAAAGCCATAACTGTACAGCAAACAGGAGTGAAGAAGTGAGAGGGGTGAGCCTGGGAGGAACTGCCAAACCACTTGGAAACAAGAAAGACATGGATGTAATTTTTGAAGCATGGCATCACAAAGCTTCTCACCACAAACTCCAGATACAAGAAGGGAAAACAGAGGAATTTGAGTGGGTTTTGGGTGGGTCTTCCCTGTGGAGGCACTGTTTGTGACCACCCAGAAAGCACGCAATACCTCCTCTGGGAAGGGTTTAGTCTAATGATAGAATTAGCGTTGTTTTTGTTGGAGGAATTGTTGTCTGGCCCAGCCTGCTGACAATATGCCAGGTCAGTGCTAAGTGAAATACACATTCATTATAGCCTAGTCCTCAAAATTCTGGGTGCTCCTGGGGAAATGCTGAGAGTTGCTACCGTAATAAATAGCACCCACGAAGACGAATTGCTGATAGACCCAGGGTGTTTCAGCCAGTTGAGCTGCCTGCTGATGTAGCTCAAATAGACCGGTGTGGTCTTGCCTGAGTGAGAAATGCAGGTCACGCATTGGAAAGTGCTGCCTGACCCCAGGCAGTGCCTGTGGCTGCGCGTGTTGGGCAGCTGAGTGCCCTGGCACCAAGGAGAAGGTCTCATACTCCTCCGGTGTTAGTGTGGCCAAGCTCCAGCTGGGCACCTTTGGGGCTGAGGAAAAGCGGATGTGCCCTGCTTAAATACTCCAGTCCATGTCCCGAGCATCTCCCCAAGATGCCTGAGCTGGGCACTCCACTGTTCACCAGAAACATGGCATCCAGCTGCAGCCTGGCTCCCATTTAAGTCTGACCATCTCTTACTGGGCTGTGGAAGGGCCATGGGAAGCCTGCTGGGGCCAGGGGGACCTTGCAGAAGGTAGGGAGAAGACTAACCGCAAAAAGCGTCCGAGCTGCTAAGCGCGAAGACGGCCAGGGTGCGTGGGTGGGGGAGGCAGCTCCGCCGCTCCAGCCAGCACTGCAGGCAGCAGCAGATCCCGCAGGACAGGAGCAAGGCCAGGAAAAACAACATCAGGAACCTGAAGCAGAGGCAGCAGTGGGGGGAACAGTCCCATCATCATTTGTGGGCAGCACTGACAGATGGCTGCATGTCTTCACATTTACATATTCATTAACATCTTTTTGCAAATAGCTGTTAAATATTGTGGTTTCCCCATCAATGTACTGGACATGATCAAAGTCCCCTGAAAGCAACATCTCAGTGCCGAGTGCTCAGTGCCGAGGCTGGCTGGAAATTCAAACATTTCCCCCTGAAATCATTCATCAGTTTTGCCCAGCTCAGTTGTCAGCACACAGTGAAGAGGATATGGATAAATGATTCCCATTAGTCAGTAAAGACAGAACACAGGGACAGCCCAGGAGCAATGCTCTCTGACTGTCAGTTTCCCTTAATGCCTTTCTCTCCATATATTCATCAAAGAATATTAGTTGCCAGTTTTTCCCTGCAAAACAAATCTGAAACTTACCACACATACCAGCTGCTAAAGTTTTCATTGCTCTGCCTGGTGCACCTAACAAGGGAAAAATAAAAGGAACTTTCAGTTCAATGTGAGGGGACTGCATTGGCTCCAATGAATGTCTACCAACACAAATAAAAGCATCATCAGTAAGTAGAGGATTGAGAAGTTTTCCTCCATCAAGGGAACTCTATTAAAAGTTTATCTATGTAGATAGGAGCAGATGCAGATGACGTACGAAGCAGCGTGAAACCGGTTTGCCTTCCAACAATGGCACTCGTCACCACTGTTTTTGATGAAAATCCAAAGGGTTGCCAACCTTCCTTTCTTCTTTTGGAAGAAAATCTATATGGCCTTTTCCTAGAAGCCCTTGTTGTTCCGTCATGCCAGCGTGCCGGGCAGGAGCACAGCATCCCAACAGAGCCCAGGGTGGGGGTAGCCGCAGGTGAGAAAACAGAGACAACACTCACCTCTCACCAAGCTCGCAGTCCAACTCAGAGTCTGCTAACTGAAAACACACATGTAAATCAGAGAGAGCAGATTGGGGGGTGTGTTTATTGTTTTTGTTTGTTGATTGTTGTTTTTCCTATAATTTATCAGTAGAAATACTGCTCTTAGAGTAGTAAGTTGGAAAGGAAGAACCATACATACGCTGGCCCCTGTAAGGATGAAAACCAGACGTCTCCCTAGAGACCACATGGCTGAACTCCTGCCTCTGCTCGTCTCTGGTCTGAGCTAGCCCATATGGAAACCAACAGATAACCTCACAGAACGCTCAATAAATCCATACTTTGCAGATGAAAGCTAGGCCGAGGTGAAAGCATTTCTTTTGATGTGAAAAAGGGAAAAATAAAGCAAGGAAACACAAGCAGGTGTCAAAGACCTGTTTACAGAACTGGGTCTCGCTATTCAGAACCGTTGGATGAAAACATCCTGTGACTAAGTTCTTCATCAATAGCTCATTTGCCAGTAGCTAATTGTGAATGTAATTGTGAATTTGAGCTGTTTTGACCAGACATGTGCTCTACCCAGCATTTTCCTGTGTTTGGATAGTAGTGGTGCATCATTCCCAGAGTCAGGTTTCAAGTATTGCAAATATGTGAGCCTGAAACTTGTTCTTCAGGTATATTTTCTACCCTCCGCTCAAGCAAGTTTATTTTTGCAAGCCTTGTTGATCTTAGGCTCAGTTTCAGATTATCTGAGCAAAAAGTAACTGGAGCAGTTCATCAGTATGATTGAATCAAATTCAATGCAATTTTTGGCTGACTCGCATCAGGGGTGTTTTAACACTTGCCCAACTTCACTGCAAAAACCTTAAGATCAGATAGAGAATTGCCTTAATGCTGGGAAGCAGAATGAGCATGATGGAAGAATTTTGATTTAATTATTGGAGAAAACTATCAGAATGTAATTTGTAAATCTTTACTTTGGATTTCCTTCTGTGTATACCCAAAACACACAGAGATTTCTGACTTTCTTTGAGCTGAACTGGAAAGCTCTGTTCTGTATTAGAAATTTGTATCAAATACATATAACTGAGAAATCTCATATTACATCTGTAATTAATAGGACTTCTTTATAAGGATTTTTTTTTTTGTGCAAAGCTTGTGTTCTCTAAACAGCAAGAAACGACCCCACAAATATCTATAATGTATCTTATCCTGTGCACACACTGACTTGGGTCCCTAGTTTCAACAGAAGTCTTTAGGTTTTTCATAAAGGTCTTTCGTAAAATACATCATCTATGAAATGTCATGAGTGGTTGAAACCCAAATGAGGAATAGAGAAAAAGACAGAAGCTTCAACTCTTCCAGACGTGTCCTTTTAGAACTGAGCTAATTTACCATGTCACACATGAACCCTGATGTAGAATACTTTTTTTTCTGCACTTCAGCTGATTATTAGAATAACAGGTCAAACCCAGGCAGCTGATTGCTGTGATTAATGCGTAGCCTGAGTATTCTTCATGGCTGAACAATAACCTCTTGACTCCCTTTTATCATCCTCCAAACTGCCTCAGCAGAGCTACATTAGTGTAGTTAAACTGTTCTGAGGCAGTAATCTATCAATGCAGCCAAACACTCACCTGTGCTGCTGAAGACTCATACTCTTCCATTTCAATAGCCAGGGACAGAAGAAAGGATTAAGTCAGTCATGTTTTCTCCACATTAAGTGGAATCATTGTGAACATTAAATCCCCCCCAAATTCATCAGGTCCTCAAAAATTGTTCCCAAGAAAATAAAAAGGGCTGATGACTAAATTCTATAAAGGTTGAAGTCTCCCCCCTCAAAATCCCTAAAATCAGCCTGGTCCCAGTGAAGGGTTTCGTTACCTGGAATAAGGTTAAACATAGAACTCCAGCTCCTCTGATCCATGAAGCAAAACATAAAGCCCTGGGTCTCTGCATCACTAGCAGGAGAAACGTGGGAAGAGCTTTGTTTCCAGCAGTATTTTACCCTCTGTTATTTGTAGTTTTTAAAACTTTCTGCACATTGTGCCTTCTGCCATAGAACACATCACCCAATGGCTTCCCGTGCTTCAGAAATTACCGCTAGCCGGGGAGTGAATTTGGGTTTGCATGGGCACACTCAAACTGCTGCTACAAGTTAAAGGAACACTAGTTTAAGGTCAGCACCTTGCAGTTGTTTTGGTATTTTCATAGCTGTTCACAGATTCCTGTTGCTGAAGCTTAGTTCCATATTAACCCACAGCTGTATTTAACAAGACTTGCTACAAATACTGGAGATCATATTGTGAGGCCACGCTTTCATTACATGCTGCCTTCAGCTGCAATTCTGACATTACAGAAAACATAGAGCTACCTCCAACCACCTCCTATGCCCTGTGCCTACCACCTCAGACATGTGCACCAAGGACAGAGAAAACCCTTCCCAGCCTGAGACAGCAACCACCAGCACCTCTACTGCTGTTACACAGCTTCCAGCGGTTGGTTTGCTGGGAAAATGCACCCAAAACCCCACACATCCTCAATGCTTCTCATAAGGGATACAAAATTTTGTTGCACAATATAAAGATCGATTTGATCCTGATGGATACATCCAGATGATGCTGTTAAACCAAGGTGGAAGATGGTTTGCCCGGTAGCTCTGATCACCGCAGAACGGATGATCCCGGTTTGTTCAGCAGTCGCTAATAGGTTGTCACTGAAGTTTACAGCCTGTGGCTGAATTGCACCATTAACTACAGCTCCTCCAGATTTAACACAAAGGGTGTTGCTGTGAATATGTTTAGCCGTCACTCCAGAAGTTAAGTATTATGCTGTGATGCCATTACTTCAGTAATGATTGACAAAGCTAAGCTGCTCTTGAGATACACCTCTGTGGTTTGCTTCAGCTAAAAGGTTGAGAAGTCTAATGAGCTCTGATACACACGCTTATCCTAGGTTTGTTATTTATTGCTAAAATATTGAATAAACCCAGTCCAAACCCCGGTGTTCTCAAATGTTTACTTTCAGCTCGCTACTAATTAAAGGCAAGACTCTTGAAACGATGCCCTCTGAGAAAGCATCTCTCATAATGGTGCTAAGTGCATGTGCTACACAATATAAATAGTCTGAACATGTTGGTGTCCTGGTTCAGACCAATCTTTTTCAATTTTGTTTAACAGCAAATTTCCAAAGAGATTTCTTAGCTGTTTTCTTAAAAGAAAAATCTCCTGCAGTATAAAAATATGCACAGCCTTGCTGGGAACCTTGTGACTCTTAAAATTCCAGGCTTCAAAGAGATCATCCATCAGTGAACTAATTTCAGATTTCTTCATCTCACAATTACTTCTCTCATGCCAGCACCCAGAGTACTTCCAATTTAGAGCTATCAAATGGATCTCCCCCAGTATTTCAGGAGGCAGGTACCACAATGAGCTCCTGGTACTGAAAAATAACATATAACATCTGTTCTAGGTCTATATCTAGATGAAAAGGGGAATAATTGAATCCTGCCATTGCCCAGCTTCCTGGCCTCGAGGCAGGCTTTGAAGTTTTCTGCTGGCTGGTCCCATACAGAGGTTTCAAGTGTTGGTGGCAATTTGTGGGGCCTGTCCCTGTATTCTCAGTAACTATGTCAACAGGAGAGAGCTGGCCGAGAGGGGGTCCATGAACAGCCTTGTATTTTGCTGCAGACGTGATCTTGATACTGAAAGGCAGCAGGAAAACTCTCCCTGTCGGTGATCTGCTCAACAGCTAGAATACAAGAATGTCATGAAGAGCCCCAGCACTTGCTCTAAGGCAGCCAGGACCTGACATCAAAACCCATGGTGGGTTGTGAGCCTGCCTGCCTCCTCCCTGCCTACTGTGACAGTGCTGCCTTCAGGGCTTTGCAACACCAAGAGACTCATCTTCTGGGTAGCTCTATGTCCAAGGGCTATCTCCAGTCTGAGGGATTTTTTTAGGCTTTTTAGCATTCCCCCCAAAAGGAGATACTTGCACACATATGTATATACATACATGAAAGGTAACGCCTGCTCCCTCCTCCTCATCCACTGACTGAGGAGAAGTTTGGTATCTCTTGCCTCCTCAATCAGTTATATCCATCTCATCAGTGGACTTGTGAGGCTGCTCTCTGATAGATGTTAACTCATGACCATTAGATTAAAAATCTGTTATTTCCTAGTCACCTTATGTCGTTGCTAGGTGACAAATGCATCTCCCAGGCAGCAACAGGCACTACTGCAACATACAGCAATTTATGATTGTCTATTATCTCTTTGGTTAAGGTGCCTGTTACTTTCAATGGGAGTTGATGTGCAGCTCTAGGATCACCCAAAGGTGACTTTTAGAGTTGCCACAGAAACCACCTCCACTGCAGGCTGGTTTTTGCTGGGCTTTGTGAGAGGGGATGCAAGACTGGGAGACAGGAGAAATTTAGGAGAAGCTGATTTAACTTGTCAACAGTGCCAAGGTTAGATTAGGGGTCTGAATTTCAGGAACTGAGCTCGCTCTTGTATGCATGTGGTCTAGGAGTGATGGTCTTGCCGGCTTGAGTGTCACACTACAATTTTCAGTAATGCTCTTGGTTTGAGCCAAAATTTCAGGGAACACCCGGGGGACCTCTGGAATCTGGTGAGAGTGGGAGGGAATTTACGGGCAAATGGAAACCCACACAGAGCCTCTGGCAGCTTGTAAGCACAACTAGCAGTTTAAATCTTTTACTTAGCTGCTTTCAGAGCATTTGATGGCTTCCAGGGATAACTCTTAGGTAAACAATCACCTTGCTAAGCTCTGACCAACCTCCCAGTACAGTCTGGAATGGGACTGTGAAAGACTTTTCCAGAAAGAAGGAAAGAAAGGATAGTGGCAGGAGAGACGTAGGACAGACACAGGGAGGGACATAGGACAGGATGGAGAACACAGAGATGTGGTGTGGGAGACAAGGGAAGGCAGGGCAGCCCTGCTCTCTATATTAAGGTTGACTGATAAGTTAATTCAGCATTTGTTGGCTTTTTTATGACACAGTGTTTTCACATCACTACCACAATCAATTTTTCCTCCAGTCCAAGACCACTGGAAGCTCTCCCCTCCCTGCTTGACTTCTCTGCCATGGCTGGCTCAGTCTTTGCTTTTGCAGCTGCATCCTCAGCATCTGGGCTCAGCCAGGCTGTGAACAACCCAGCTGTGATTGTGTGTGTCCCCCCCCCATCCTGTGAAGACTCAGGGCAGGTGAATTGAGTTTAACCAAAGAGAAGGGTGACAGGGAGGACTGAAGATGAAACATTGCTTCTCTGAAACAGGAGAACTAAAGAAGGTTCGGTCTCATCCTCATAAAATGAAAGCTGCAAGGAGTTGCTTGCTCCCTATAAACACACTGAGATGAATAAATCCAGTGCGGGGGAGAGCTATTTAAGCTAATGGCCACTGCTGGCATGGGAACAAATGGGAGCAAACTGGCCATGAATAAATTCAGGCTGGAAATGCAAAGAAGGTTCGCCCCATCCGGAGCAGCGAGGTTGTGCAGCAGCTTGTTCGTGGGAGGAGTGTGGGCACAAAACCAAATGGCTCCCAGAATGGAAGTCATCGAGCTCTCACAGGGGATGGAACCTTTTGCTGACCCAGAGCGTCATTTTCTGTCCCATGGAAACCACCCTCGTTGTTTCTTAGACCCTCAAATCTGTCTACATGTACAGGAGTCAGCCAAGACAGCCCGGGTCTTGCGTGAGCAAGGAAGGATGAACTCTTTAAAACAAGCCTTGGTAGAGCTGGCACAGCCTGTTGTCTTTCAAAAGGATTATAACTAGTTGCTGCTCACTGATGAATACAGCCCTTTGTGAGCCTGTGTGGGGGACGTGCTGCACAGGGGGAAGGAAAGACTCCAGGCACTGATTTAAATGAGTGCAAACAAGGATGACATTGTTCTGCTGCATCCTCCCCAGGAGCAAGGCTTTGCAGGTCACCCTTGGATCTGAGGCAACTGCAGCTACCTCCGTTGCTTCGGATGGTCCAGAGAGCCCTTTTGTTTGTTTTGGTATATCAATAGGGAAAATCCAGCAGAGAATAGGGTCAGTGAAGCCTTTTGCCTGGCAAACCCCTGTTCCAATTTTACAGTGAACACATGAAATACTGCAGCATGTGAGCACACATGGAAGGATTTAGGCAGGAGCTTTCTTGCTCTGGAATTCACAGGGGGAAGCAACTTTGAGAAGTGTACTTTTCCAGCAAGTGTCTTGTGTATGCTGACAACTCTGGTACTGACTCTGCTCTCACCACTAAAACCAGAAAGCAGTGTTTTACAGATAGCTCTGTTATGATGGGGCAATGGGAAGATGAAAGAATATAGAGACGTGGTTTGTCATGTTGTTTTTTTAACTCCACCCAAGTTAAGTTTTCTTCCAAAAACTTATGTTGGATCCTAAAAAAAAGTACCAAAATAACAGGAGTTTAGCTAAGCCTAACAGTTGTTTGGCTTTAGAGGAGAATTCAGAGCTCAGAATTACATTTTAAAATCTGCTGCACCTGAAGAATAAATGGTAGTTTGGTTTCTTTTATTTCTGGCTTCAACGTTAGGGCTTGAGGTAATTCTCAGCTCTGTCACTGATGTCCCACATAGCCACGAACTTCTGTGTAACAGCCCACCTGGAAAAAGAGTGTAAGAGACCTTTCATCTCAGAAACTCTCCAGACAGGCACTGTACCTCCCACAGAGCACACCAGAAATCAGTTCAAAGGGCTGGATAACCCTTGAGACTTGAGAAACAGAAAAGCAGAATTAAAATTAAGGATAAAGCTGATAAGATAAAAAGCAGCTTGAATGAAGGGAAAGATGAAGTACACCAGAAATACAGTCAAAGTAATCACAAGCAGAAATTTTCCCTTTGGTTTTATAATGTGAAGTTGAAGCTGATTATGGCTACTTGAATCCTGAAGCCTGCTGCTATTCTGTTGTGCTCAAACAGGTCC